GGAAGGCTGAAGCAAGAGAATTGCTTGAGCCCAAGACTTTGAGGTTGCTGTGAGCTATGACACACGGTACTCTACCAAGAATGCAAGTGAGACTCTGTCTCAAAAAAAAAAGAATACAGAAAGGGTGGTTGTGATAGATGTGCTGGCTGGTTTAGGAGAGATTCACAAAGGCAGGTCTAGAGAAGTGGATGAAGCAGACGGGTGTGGAAAGAGCATGCCCATATACAACGCCGTGGAGACAGATAATTCCAGTTTGTACCTGGTACAGTCGAGTAGAGTAACTGGGTCACTTCAGCTCAGGTCTTCTTAGCCTCAGTCCTGTTGACAGTTAGGGCTAGATCTTTCTTTGTTAGGGGTGGAGGGGGCTATCCTCCTGTGCATTAAAGGCTGGCTAGCAGCATCCCTTGTTTTCCCCACTAGATGCCAGTAGCCTCCCCCCCCCAACCAGGTGTGACAAATAAAATGTTTCCAGATACTGCCAGATGTCCCCTGGGGGGCAGGGAATCACTCCCGGTTGAGCATAGCTTGAGGGGAAGGTAGGAGGGTAGGTTTAGACCCTACTGTGATGGCCATCAAATCTACACATAACCCTGCAGAGGGGGTTTTGTGAACAGGGGCTGACATGAAACCAAAGTGAAGAGCTTCCCCTGCCCCTCCCAGTGAGCTGGAGATGGCATGGGCTCTGCAGTTTAGAGTGACTTGGCCTTGCTTTTACTTAGGTATTTATTTATTTATTTATTTTGAGACTGTCTCACTATGTCATCCTCAGTAGAGTGCTGTGGTATCACAGCTCACAGTAACCTCAAACTCTGGTCTTAAGTGATTCGCTTTCCTCAGCCTCCTAAGTAGCTGGGACTACAGGCGCCGGCTCCAGCGCCTGGCTATTTTTTGCTTGTAGTTGTCATTGTTGTTTGGCGGGCTTGGGTTGGGCTGGATTTGAACCCGCCAGCTCCAATTCATGTGGCTGGCACCCTAGCCCCTGAGCTACAGGCCCAAGCCAGATAATTCACTTTT